TTAATTTCACTTTTGTGTATAATAGTAGTTAAACTCGAGCAATGAAGTATATATGTTATAAATGCCAAAGCTTAAACTTAATTTCGATGTTGGTGTATGATAAAATTAGTGACGAGGTATGGTATAAACGGTAATGACTTTTACAAATATTCCCACGATTGAATTTATTATAGGGTAGTGGAAAGAGGTTTTCTCCAATTAAATGAAGTAGAGCTTGGTCTACTTGAACAAGAACTTAAACTAATTGCTTGTAGAGTAACATATGTAAATAAGCCTTGGATATAACTGCAATTTCCCATGATTAAGCCTATTAATTCTACTTTCTTATTTTGTTAACTTTTCACACCAGTAGTGTCTTGTTCTTTAAAGGATGGGAGATTATTGTATACTTGTTGTAGCAAATTAGTGACCTAGTCAAATTTCTTAGAAGGCGCTGAATTTAGATGAGAATGATACTAAGAAGCAAGAGGCAGGTGCTTCCTTTCTTGTGAAAATGGTACATTTGCTCTACAGCGAAAGCAAAATGGTCATTGTGTCCTTATTCAAGGATTATTTATCAAAGGAAAATGGTCTTAATTTAGCATTAAACTTATGCAGCTTTACAATCACCCTTACCTGACATGGAAACATTGTGAACTGGCATGGGCATCTGTGTCTTAAACCCCCTAAAAAATCAGGAGTATTTCATACAGGGAAAAGGAATGTTACTAGTGCATTTGCTGACTATATTTGTGTAAGAACTTTCCAAGGCAATTGTGGACTATATTTTTTGACGTCACCATCGAATTTTTGATGTTCATGAAGGCTGTGTAGGTCTGCAAGGAGGAGGAAAGTGGTGGTGCCTTGGTGTTTCAATGTTGAAGCTGATGGCTTGGTTCCTTTGTTTTGTGTTTTTGAAATCCACAATTGGTTGAATTCTTGTCTTACCTTTGAAGCTAGAAAGGACTATTACAATTCAAAAGAGCTACCTTTCTCTTTGGCTTGTTTTAGGCTTTTAGCGAGAATACATTTTTCTATTTCTTTTAGCGAGAATACATTTATTAAACTTTTAGTGAGAATGCATTCTTCTAAAGAATCGTGAATTGTGTTGCAATATTTTCTATTTATATTGTCGTTGTTGGTTGTGGTTTTGCCTGAATGTCTCAGCTGGTTGTTGCTCTTGGTATTTTGCAAAAAAGGAAGTAATTTGCTTTTTTCATTATAGAAGTCATGGATTATATCAATATTTGGCCGTATCAATGTTTGCTTTTTTCAGATGCCAAGAGACTACTAATGGCTAGGACTGGTGTTGCTTCCAGAGGCCAAAAGTTTCGATTGCTAACAAACCATTTCAATGTTAAAGTAGCCAGAAATGAGGGCTACTTTTTCCACTATAGTGTATATAACCTCTATCTCTATGATGGTTGTTTAAGCAAGCAATTTAGCACAAGTATTCTGCTCTTGATATGTAGGTGTCGATTTATATTATCATTGTTGCAATATTTTCTATTTATATTGTCATTGTTGGTTGTAATTTTTGCCTGAATGTCTTAGCTGGTTTCGGGTTTTTGGCTGATATTTTGTCAAAAAAGGAAGTAATTTGCATTTTTCATTAAAGCTTGAGTAACAATTAGCTAAATGCAAGAAAAAGTAAATTAGTAAAGGTACAAATTGGTTTTTTCCTTTAAATTTTTAATAAAAATTAGCTAAATGTAAGAAAAAAAAGAAATTATTATATAAAAACAAGGAAAAAAGAAAAATTTTATGTAAGCAAATGTTTCATGAAAATAATTCTAATTCCTAATGAATTCTTCTCTCATCCAAACAAAGAATTTGGAATTCCAAATAAATTCCGTATCAATTCTATGCATTTTCCAAATGAAAGAATTGCAAGGATTTGGATTTTTAATTCGTAGAATTCTAATTCTAATTCAATTCCAATTCTGTAGAGCCAAACGTACCCTAATTACAGTTCCAAATGCAACCAACAAAAACACAAAAAAATTAAAACAATAAGATGAATCCTATTATCTATTTCTTCTTCCATCCACTTCTGCCACCCACCACAATCATCAACCACTTCTCCCTCCTTCATGCCTTTCCCTTCCCTCTTCCCCTCTCTTACCTCTCCCTTCCTTCCCCTCCTTTCTCCTCCCCTCTTTTTTCCGCTTCTCCCATCCTCTCATTCCTCCTCTCTTCCCCTTGTCCCTCAACCACAAATTTGGTTGCACCGATCACAGTAAGAAAAATGAAGGGAGAGGAGGAGGGTTACAGGAGACAAGGAAAAGGAGGGAAGAGAACGGGAAAGAAGGAAACGGGGGAAGGGAGGGAAGGAAGCAGAAGAGGGAGGAGGACGAAGGAGGAAGGAGAAAGGAAAGGGAGAAAGAGAGAAGAGGAAGAGCAATGATGGTGATGAAGTAGGAAGGAGAGGTGGGTGGCAGTGATGGGCGGTAGTCAAAAATCATAACTTTTACCAATACTCTAATCAAAATTTAAATTTTAAAAACACTCAAAAAAAATTCAAAAAAAACACTTAGGAGGCACTTGGTTCAAGTTTAAGAATTAGAATTGTAATTTAAATCATATTTAAAAAATATAGTATGGGTTTTGGTGGAAAAATATTTTATACAATATATAAAGGGGGAGTGTCACTATATGGCGTAAACATACGGTGTTAGTCACTTTTTAAAATTTGTAATATACCCTTAATTATAAGGACAAATTTGTACTAATAATTTAAAAAAAAATCTCCATAATTAGCAAGAATCAAAAAGTAGTTATCAGTTCAATTGTTCACTCATTATAGCTTTCTTTCACCAACTCTTAATGCCCATGTATTTTACTCCACTTCTATTATCTTTCTACATGATCACCTGCATGATAATCGAATTTGATCCATAAAAAAACTCTTTACTCTTTAAAGGGATAATTTTGATAAATATATTTTTGTAGGCTACACACATGATAGAGTGTGTCATGAGCACTAGTTACAATAACATTTGCTCGGTAAACATTTGTAAGGAATGAGTATTACATTAATTTATTATATTAACTAACCATTTTTCTTATGCCCCTCTCTTTTCCCTTTCAACTACCAATTTCCCAATCAGCAACTGCTGCAATTCAATAGTGATTTGACTGCCTATTTTGCAATCACTAGTGGAATTAGAGCTGGTAAAAAAGCCCAAAATTCAATGATCACCCCAACCAGTCCATTAATTTTAAAAGATGGGTTGGATCAGTTGGATTATGGGTTTTGTTAGGTTGGATAAGAAAAATCTAACTTATTCATTGGGCGGGTTAGATTTTTCATTTGGATACCCAATACCCAACTTACTTAAAAGTAATTCAAAATAATAAATACAAGATTCAATACACATATGCCCAACCACTTGCACTTGGGCATGTGTTAATTATTTATTGACCAATTTATATTCAAAATTCTCATATATATGTTTTCAATTAATTTTTTTAATTTTTATTTAAAAGAAAAAAGAAACTTAAAATAAAAACTCATGCTTATTTTACCTTTACAACAATAGTTAAAATTTCTCAACTTTTATAATAATTTATTATATCTTTTAAAAGTATGTTGTTTTCCTCCCCTTTTTTTATATTTTTTTGTGATTGTTCTCAAGTTGTTACTTGCTTCTATTTGTTAATATTTTGTGTACGTAGAATAGTGTTTTAAATTTGTTCTAATTACATTTTTTTACTTTTCCCTAACTTGTTTTATTTCATTGACAATAATTCCTTATCAATATTATAATACAACAAATTATATGTCTCTTACTGACATTTTCAAGTATAATATAATCTAGCATTCAATAATTTAAATATAGAGAATATTACAACTTACAATAAAGCAGATATGAATAGTAAAAGTGTTGATAAGTTGTGACAAAAATAAGTTTCAATCAATTAGTAGTATTAAAAAGTATAAAATAAACAAATTTTTTTAACTAATCTACTTAAATATACAATTTATTATCTAAATTCACAATACAAGCAATATAAAATATTATTCTATTTATGATGTGTTTCTAAGGAGTTTAAAAAGTGAGTATGTGTTTGTGTGTGTGAAAGTGTATTAGTGTGTGAAAATACATTTATGTACATGAAAATGTGTTTATGTATGTGAAAAATTTTTTTGTGTGAAAATATATGTAAGAAAGTTTATGTATCAAAATGTATTAATTAATATATTGGGTCATGGGTTTGGGATGGTCCAATATGACTCAACGCAAAATCAACCCAATTTATAATTAAGCAAGTTGGATATAACCCATTTAAATAAAAATTCAATATCAACCCATCTAAAACCCATCCAACTAGGGCTGTCAACGGTCCGGGTCTAGACCCGGACCCAGCTCAGGCCCGCTAATATTTGCCGAGTAGGGGAAGGCATATAGTTCCGTGACCCGGACCCGGACCCATTTTGTCTAATGAATTTGCGGGTCGAATACGGAATATGCCGTTCCGACTCGTATAGGACCCGAACCCGTTTTTTAATTAATTAATAATTAAAAAATATATACCTATCTCTATCTGTCATAATTTTTCATACCACTACTTACTTTCATTCCCAATTTGTTCAACCCTAATAGTCTAATACCCACCGCTGCCGCACCTCTCTTCTCTGTTGCTCCTTACCCAACTCCAGCTATCCTTTTTCTCCTCTGCCTCCCGACTCCTGAGTCATGCCTCCGCCAGTCACCACTCACCAGACACCTGACCTGGACCGGCGAAGCTTCTAGTTTGCTCTTCATCCCCAGCTCCAAAGAAAATCGCTGGGTCTAGCTAGCTCCAAAGAAGCAAGCCCAGCTCTTCCGTCATTCCGTGAGACTTCTCCTCTTTTGCTCTACCTCCGTGGCTCCGCCAGACACCAGTCCGCCCTGACGCCTGACGATTGCAGCAAGCCCAGCTCTTCTAGGCTTCTAGTTCTACCAAGTAGCAGCCCAGCTTTCTTTCTCAGTCAAGTATTTTTTTTAAAATTTTTTGTGGGGGAAAATTGAGAAGATATGAGAAATGCTGTAGAACGAAACCTTCTTACCTCCCCAAACAGAAGGTATTTTAGTCGTTGTTAGTGATAGTTTCTTGCGAGCTAGATTTTCGTTGCGGATTGCATAAGAAACTTGACTTAATCTTAATGTCCCAATTCAATTTGTGAAGGGTAAATGATCATTTCCATTTTGAAGGGTATATAAATTCAATTGAACTCCTATAAGTAACGAAGTAGTAGGAAATATTTGGCCCACTCAACAAGAAAATTTGTTTGCATTCAGCCCTCAGTTCCTCTTCACCCATCGTCGTTGGTCTTTTCTTTTTGTTTTCTGTTTTTCGGTAGAAATTTGGAGGTCTGAAATATAAAACATCTGATGGCACCAAAGTGGAATGGAGCTAGATTAAATCTTGGACTAGAAAATAGAAATAAGCAAAACCAAAAAAAAAAAACAGAAGGAAGAAAGAATATAAGTATTTTTCTAGAAAGAAGGTAAGTGCAAAATGAAATTAGGGAAACTAGAGTTCAGGGAAGAGAAAACAAAGAGAAAATGGCAATCGACTAAACTCAACTCTTTCAAGGAGAAAAAAGATCCTAAATCCTAAATGTAGTTGTCCTTTTCAACTCCAAAATAGGGCAGCTTATCCTTTTCCCCCTTTGGAGTCTTACTAACACAATATCAACATTTGTTATTCTCCTTTTTTTCTAGAAAAAAGTAAAAAAATGGTTGATGCATACATGAATCTGCTCACTGGATTTTTTGCATTCACTGGATTTTGAATGCGACATTCTAAGGAATTTGTCTTGTACCATGTTTATCTAATAAATTATGTTATTCACTAATTGCAGGATGTCATCTTTGCCGAGTAATCCAACAGGACCAAGTAGCACAGCTGATGAGAATGAGATTGCCATTTTGGATTCGGAAGAGGAGGAGGTGAAGGAAGATGATTCGTGTAAGAAACCTAGGGAAAAGAAATTAACATCTAAGGTATGATTTGATATGGATAGAGTTAAGACTGCTACTGGTATTGTTGCCATATGTAAGCATTGTAAAAAAAAATGGCCAGGGATAGCTCATGCGGGACAAGCCATTTGAAAAAACACATAGATAATTGCATTGCTAGAAGACATAGGAGTGGAGGGTAGCAAGTACTTCAGTTGGCTAAAAATGCTTTGGATGATAAAGTTAAAGTTCAAACTTTCAAGTTTGATCAAGAGAGAAGTAGAATGGATTTGGCTAGAGCTATAATAAAACACAACTATCCTTTTACCATAGTTGAGTATGAGTACTTTGAGATTTTTTGAATAATTTGGAGCCAAATTTTAAGCTGGTTTCTTGAAATACAGTCAGGGTAGATGTGATTAGTGTTTATAAAGAAGAAAAGGCAAAATTGTATAAGTATTTGGATGATTTTGATGGTAAGATAAGTCTAACTACTGACATCAGATCACCAAAATTTTGCCTATGCCTATTTGACAGCTCATTATGTCAATGAACATTGAGAATTGAAAAAGAAAATTATTGCTTTTAAATTTGTTCCATATCCTCATGATGGTGAAACATTATTTAAATTTATTTCTGATATCATCTTGGAATGGAACATTGATAAAAAGCTTACCTCTGTTGTTGTTAATAATGCATCTTCAAATGATTCAATGGTTAAATGTTTGAAATCATGGCTATTGGATAAGTCATTGCTCAATTTAGGAGGTGATCTTTTTCATGTTCGATGTAGTGCACATATTCTTAATTTGATTGTGCAAGATGGGTTAGTTATTATTGGAAAATTGCTTCATAAGATTCGAAAGACCTTAAAGTACTTGAAAAGGTCTACTTCTTCTTATCAAAAGTTTGAGAATGCAATTAATCAATGCAAGATGAAAAATAAAAAAAGAGTGGGTATGGATGTTCAAAATAGATGGAATTCTACATTCTTGATGCTGGAGACTGCTTTGCCTTTGAAGGAAGCTTTTTGTCATTTAGAACAAATGGACAGAAATTACAAGTTCAATCCTTCAAAAAATGATTGGAAAGTGGCTAGTGTTGTTCATGGTTGTTTGAAAAAATTTTATGAAGCCACATATCATTTTAGTGGTTCTATTTTTCCCACAGCAAATGTTTTCTTTCCCGATTTATGTAATCTTCGTATTAAGATGAGGCAGTGGGAAGTTAGTGAGCATGATTTTATTCGAGAAATGGTTATTCCAATGAAAGCAAAATTTGAGAAATATTGGGAAGAATGTTCTTTGGTGCTATCTATTGCTGTGGTGCTTGATCCTAGATTTAAGTTGGCTTTAGTAGAGTATTATTACAATGATCTTTATGGAGAAGGTGGTGAAAGATATGTGGATAGAGTTCGTAATGCTATTGCTGACTTGTTTGTTGAATATGGAGGTGACCTTACTCCTTTTTTGAGTTATGTTGGAGATAATATAGGAGAAGGGATTTCTAGTTGTGGTAACAAAAATATAGATGTAGAAGATGATGATGATAAGTTGTCTGATTTTGACAAATGGTATCAGCAATCATGTTCTTCTACTATTCTTGCTAGTCAAAAATCTGAATTGCAATCGTACTTGAACGAGCCTGTATTTCCAAGAAAAGATGATTTTGACATACTAGGCTGGTGGAAGGCAAACAGTCCAAAATTTCCTATTCTTAGCAAGATGGCTCATGATATTCTTGCAATTCCAGCTACTACTGTGGCATCGGAATCAACATTTAGCATTGGCGGAAGGGTAATTGATGAGACTCGTGCTGCTTTGCTTCCTGATGTGGTCGAAGCTTTGATAACAACTGGAGATTGGTTACCTTTGAAAAAGAAAAGAAGTAAGTCCTCATGTTTATGTTTCTTTTGTTGTTTTTTCTTTTTAAATCCATATTACAAGTTTATTTGGTTGAGTTACTCTAGAAAGACTAATCTACTTTCTTTCTCTTTGTTTTCTTAGAAGTATTTGGAGAAGATTTGAGTGATTCTTCTAAAGTTCTCAAGTTAGGGTGTATTTGTGTAAGGCCAATTTGATTTCTTTCTTACCTGATTTTTTTTTGTATTAGTTAGTAATTAGTTTACAAATATATTGTATCCTTGTTTTTGTTGCAGAAAATTGTGAAACTTGAGAGCCATGAAGACTATTGTAATCTACAGGACTTCATTAGTTGGTTGATGTATTTGATATTTATGTTTGATTGGACTTTTTAGAAATTGTAATTTGTTGGATGCTATATTGGCTTTGTTGCTAATATTGGTTTTGTTGAAATTGTAATTTGTTGGATGTCATATTGGCTTTGTTTGGACTTTTTAAATCCTTGTGTTTGTTGGATTAGATTATATGAAATAGTTTGCTACATGCTGTTTTCTTCTTGTTAATGTTACTTTATATTATCTTTTATGTCCTTGTTGGCTGAAATCTGTTAAGTGTTTAACTCTTGAGCTGTGGTGATGTTAGGAAAAACGATTCATCACCTTGTTCCTTTTTGTTTCTAGTCCTTTCTTGAGCTGATAGTCCCCTCGATAATGGCAAGACTATTGATTGGATTGCATATTGGAACCTTCATCATGAATGCTTCTCGAAGACTGGTGTTAGTTCATTATGTTATAGTTATAGTTATGTTATAATTCATTTATAGTTCACCAGTCTGGTGAACTATAACATATTTGGAATCCCTTTTGGATTGCATCTCGAACACCAATCTTTGAAGGCTTCATGGGGTCACTCCTGAGAGGGGTTAGCTATGCTTTTGAATATAAGAGGAGAATGTGATAAAAATTAGACTGCATTTTCCAGGTGTTACTTGAACAGGTTTTTAATAGGTCTTTTTGCCGGGTAGACCCGGCCCGGATTTGGGACCCGTCGGGTGCGGATCCGATGAAAGATTAGAAGACCCGTCAGGTATTTGGGTCGAATCCGGAACTAATCCAGTATAACGGGTCCGGGTCCGGATATATGCATTCCGACCCGGACCCGACCCGTTGACAGGCCTACATCCAACCCACCCAATGGCAAGGTATAGGTGGAATATGACTATTCATTACGATCTAATTTGTTACTTTCATTCAATCAAAAACCTAACCATGTTACCTGATCCCTCACTTCTCCTTTGTTGCCTAGTTCAGCAGCAATATTTCTTTAAATTTGTCCTTTCCCAGCATACTTCTCAAGAGCTAATTTTCGAATTCCTCCATAGTCTTCGCTCCAAAGCCGTCTCCTCTAGGTGAAGAAAGGACGAGAGTGCAAATTTGCCATGGCGAATAAGAGGGAGGAGGAAGCCCAATCAAAGAAACAGCGTATTAGCAGTAGTGGTCATTTTATAGGAAGAGAAGAAGGAAAGTTTGACAGTGATGAAGAAAAAGTGGAGAGATAAATTTGCTATAAGGAGGAGTAGGAAGATGATTGACATCGAATAAACTTGATGTCAAATTGGTCATTTGGCAGGCAACAAGGACGAAGGGATAGAAGTGAAAGAGAGAAGTTTTGAAGGCACAATTAAAAAAATTAAACAAATTAGAATTGGAATGAAATTTGGGGATTAACAAACCTCTCAATTTAGTGGCTAATTCCTTCGATTGTTGCCTAAAAAATAAAAAATTGGAAGAATATTGTTCTGACATGGATATGGTATGAAACTATGCCTGTCGGGTTTAGTTAGCCTGACAGGAAAGATTTTTTTTTTTTTAAATGCTGAGCTGCAGGGCTTAGTTAGCCCGGCAGCAAAGAATTTTTTTTTTTTTTAACAATGCTGGGTTGCCCGGCTACCAAGCTGAATTTTTTTTTAAAAATATGTTGGCCTTTGACTGTTTTTAAAGTAAATTACCAATTGCATCAGATACGAATGCCTGGAATGCTATACTGCTAAATTCGACATTTTAGGATTATCTCCAGTCACAAAAGGTGGGTAAGATTAGTATGTGGCTCTTTTGCTTTTAGGGAAAAATGCACTTTTCATCCTCAAAATTTGGGGAGTTGACCAATTTTATTCTCAAAGTTTAATCCCAAATACATTTCATCCTCAAAGTTTCGTAATTTTGACCAATTAAGGACAATTGACGAGAAATATCCAATTGACCGTTACAACCAACGGTTTTACCCAACAAAAATGGGTAAAACCGAATGAAGCTAACTTTAAAGGAACAAATGCAACGGACAGATGAAAAGCTCCATTGTTGTCCTTCTTCCCTCTGCCTTGCAATCCCAAAATTTTTTTGCCAATCTTTGCAGCTTTAAACATTTCATCCTCAGAGCATCCAGCAGTGGAGCTCTCTGTGCTCTCATTTTTGCCTAAATGAGAAGCAGAAGTTCTGAAGTCTCTAGTGGTTCATCAACTCCATTCTGCAACTGTGGGTTAAGAACAAAAATGAGCATCTGTTGGCGCTGCGAGAATCCGGGAAGAAGATTCCTTGGTTGCTCTCTGTGGCCGGTAAGAAATATTTGTCTAAAAATATTGGTCCTTCAATGTGTTAATTTAGCTAACTAATTTCAGAGAAATGTCATTATTATTATGGTAGAGACCCGAGAGATGCAGGTACTTTGAATGGGTTGATAAGCCAATTTGTCCAAGAGGGAGAGTTCTCATTCCTGATTTGCTGAAAAAGATTAACAAAATGGAAGAACAAGTTGAAAGAATGCGTAAGAGAGAGAAATTTTTTATTACGATAATTGTGCTTTTGGTGGTTTTGCTAGTACTGAGTTGGAGCAGTAAAGGCGAGGGAAAAGTAAAGGGAGGCAAGTTGCTGCTAACATTGGAGTGATTTTGATAAAATTGCAGAAGAACATTTTGAAGTTGGCTGTGTTTGTTGTTGGAACGAGAGTTGCATTTTTCCCTATGAAGTAATATCCAATTGTAGGGTATAGAAAGGGACTTCTTTTGTTTGTACAAAGGTTCCAAATGAACTCTGCAATTTATGTAAATGGTGGGATTTAGGAAAGGAAATGTATTTGGCAACAATGCAATTTATGAACTCTGCAATTTATTTTGTTTGTAAAGCTATGCGTTGAGTGTAAGAAAATGGTCCTTGTCAAAGTGTTGTTCATATCATATATATATAATGGCCATAAACTGATAAACCACATGTACTGATAATACAAACAGATGCAAATAAATCACGGTGGAAAACAAATGCAAATAAACCAAGCTGGTAACTAAGCTGATAAACCAAGATTGTCCCACATGTACTGATAAACCAAATTGGAAAATAAATGCAAATAATACAAACAGATGAACATGAAAACAACTGCCATATATGTATATCATAACTTCAATACAATTAAAGTGCATTCCAAATGAAATAAAGCAAACTACATAACTGTTGTTGAACATGGGTCCATAAATCAAATAAAGCCAGCTATCACATTACAGCCTGCATTTCCATAATTACTAGGCAAGGCAAAAGTTGAAACAACAAAAGTCATTCACTAATTACAAAAGCAGCAACTTGGCTTGAACAAAAGCAGCTTGGCTTGAAGAAAATTCAGCATGTTGTTTCTCCTATCACAGTAGTTTCTCCTTTCCCTTCGATCTAGATGAACTAGGAACACTTAAATCTGCTTTGGCGGCAGCAGCAGCAACATGCATATGAACATCTCTAATCCTGAAGGGCATCTGTACTTGTTCTTTAGTTTGTGTTCTGGCTTCCTTGGTGTTATATTTCACTTGGGACCTTGACAGCCCAAACACTTCGTACATATCCTGGTCTACTTGATCTGGGGCAGAGGATGTTATGTCAATCTCAACTAGTGGCTCAGCATTCTGTTGATGTTCAGTGTTTGAATCATCATTACAAACTGCAGCTGCAACTCTTCTTGTACGTCTATGTCTCTTTTACACAAAATAGTGACGTAGCAAAAGTCAAATTGCATATAGACAAAAATCAAAAGATGTAGCAGGTTTTTCTACCCTTTTATTTGAAAACTCAGTAGCAGGCTTCTTGATTTTCTTTGTTCCCTGCAGTTTAAAAGGAAAACATGTCATTTATATACCAAATAACAAAGGTAGCTGTAACGAGTCATCAAAACAACTTACAACTTTTTTTCCATCTTGGCTAGTTGGATTGTTGGTAGAAGCAGCAACTTGGCTTGAACTAATATTAGTTTCTGCAACTGCAGGATCTTGAGCATCTTTGAGAAGCTTGCAGGACCTCATATTATGTCCTCTTTGATGACAGTATCTACACTTGTTAATCTGTCTCACTCTTGTCACTTTCTTCTTAGTTTTTTTCTTGGCTTGTTGAACCTCCTCTGCACTTCTCCTTCTCAGTTTCTTAAGCTTTCCAGGTGCTCTCCCATATAAGGGTGGCAAAGGACCTTCACCAACATCAGTAAGCTCCCATTCACTTTCTCCATTCATGGGACACACTGATCCTTTATAGCACTTCATATATGTCTCCACTGTATACCATTTTGAAACATATAGCGGAGGATCCTTTTTAGCTATCCATAATGCATTAATGGCATGGGGACAGGGAATACCTGTTAGTTCCCATTTTCTGCAAGAGCATGTTTGCTCATTGATGTTCACTGCATATTGGTCACCATATGGGCAACTAACTTCATAAAGATCATCATTTGACTTAAATGAAAAACAGTCAGGTGTTCTATCTATATTTTTCTACATAATGTGAAGAATTTTGGGGTAGTAAGGATAAGTCTACCACTTCTCTTTGGCCAGATTCCTATTTTTTTGCATTCTCTGCATCATGTACAACCGTATTGCTTCAAACATTTCAATTATTGGCTTCTCCCTCGCATCAAGAATTTTGCTGCTGAAGCACTCACAGATATTATTCAATAACATAGCACATTTAGGATGAGTGCTAAAATAAACTCTGCTCCATTGACTTGGTGGTTTGTCATCAAACCACTTGGCTGCCTCTATATCAATTTCAGCCATTGCTTCCATTCTGCTAATGAATTGGGTTGGTGTTGTTGCTTTGGCAACAGTTCATAACATTCTCCTCAAACCTTCTCCTTTGAAACTAGTAGAAGAAAAGTTATTATGCAAGTGTTTCACACAAAATCTGTGGGCTGC